GTGTATGCTTCCGTTGATATGTTGGTGCTTTATTCTTTTGATAGTTAAATGTATCGCATTTGCCCTAGTTAGTGTGTTACATTTTATAGCGACATGATTGTACGGTGTAATGACACGCGATAATGCAATTTTGTTATACAATGACTCCATAACCGAGGTCATTCAGGGTGAATTTAGCTTATTAAAAAAATAATTTGTCATTTGTATGCGAATCCATCGTATAAATATTTGCTTTTAAGCGGAACGTTAGGGCCTTAAGTGTATATTGAATTTTAATTTTACAGATGAGGTACGAGGTAAATAGCCTTTGCAGCATGTTATGTTTAAGTGCCACTGCTAAAAGCGTAAAATTGTCAGTGGTGAGATATTCAAGATTGATGTTGTGCACAAAATACTATTAACAGAGAAAAAAAAGGATTGACTCCTACATTCTGTATAAGAGGAATAGTGAGTCAGCTAAGACCACAGGAGCTAGGCCCCGTTAGATCGTTAGTATGGATTTTCCTATTACTAGGAGATCTGGGGTGACGCACACCATCCCCCATATAAGGATGTACTACTTAGTTACGGTTTTTCAATTGCAGGTTAACTGTGATTTTACTAATATCAAAAAATTAACCCCCAAATTCAATACATGAATAGATTGACTGGAATAAAAACGATTAAAGCAGAATGATAATGCTAGTGAGTAGTAAGATATCTCTTTATTTCACTATCATCATATCCCGATGCTGTTAACAACACGCTTGTATCAAGTTTTTATCTACCTTGCCCAGGTTGACAGGGCATTATAATCATTGACCGGTTAATAATGCTATTGCCCGGTTTCTGACCTTTGCCCGCACCGTTTGCTTTACAAGTCAAGTTTTAATCTATTTCTGTATGCCTATGTTTTTGAAAACCAGAAGATCAAACAAATACCAACTGTTAAAATTCAATACGCAAATAGAATCATTTAGTACCAAATATACATTTCTGAATGGAATAATAACGATGAAATATGGTTTAAATAGTAAGATATCTCTACATTTCACTATCATCATATTCCGATGATGTTAGCAACGTGCTTCTATCAAATTTTTATCTACATTGTCCATTGCCCAATGATTACATTGCTCGGGCAATAACGATAATAAAGTTTTTTCTACATTGCCCGAGTTGACCGGACATTATAATAGTTGACCGGTTAATAACGTTATTGACCGATTTCTGATCTTTGCGCGTAACGTTTGCATTACAAGCCACGTATTTATCTATTTCTGTATGGAGAATGTCTACAAGCTACCATGCTTGATGCCTGATGCATCCAAAACTGAACAAACCTGTAATCTGCATGTCTATGCCTAACTTTTGAAGACCGCAAGATCAAACAAATACCAAGTGTGGAAATTCAATACGTAAATAGTATCATTTTGTGCCAAGTATACATTTCTGATTGGAATAATAACTATGAAATGAGGATGATAATGCTAGTTTAAATAGTATAGTTTAGATTGCCCAGTTTGACCAAGCATTATTATCATTGACCGGTTTCTGATCGTTGCCGTAATGTCTGCATTGCAAGCCAAGCTTTGCTCTATTCAACTTGACTTGGCCGGGCAATATAATCATTGACCGGTTAATAATGTTATTGCCCGGTTTCTGACCTTTGCCCGCACCGTTTGCTTTACAAGTCAAGTTTTAATCTATTTCTGTATGCCTATGTTTTTGAAAACCAGAAGATCAAACAAATACCAACTGTTAAAATTCAATACGCAAATAGAATCATTTAGTGCCAAATATACATTTCTGAATGGAATAATAACGATGAAATATGGTTTAAATAGTAAGATATCTCTACATTTCACTATCATCATATTCCGATGATGTTACCAACGTGCTTCTATCAAATTTTTATCTACATTGTCCATTGCCCAATGATTACATTGCTCGGGCAATAACGATAATAAAGTTTTTTCTACATTGCCCGAGTTGACCGGACATTATAATAGTTGACCGGTTAATAACGTTATTGACCGATTTCTGATATTTGCGCGTAACGTTTGCATTACAAGCCACGTATTTATCTATTTCTGTATGGAGAATGTCTACAAGCTACCATGCTTGATGCCTGAGGCATCCAAAACTGAACAAACCTGTAATCTGGATGTCTATGCCTAACTTTTGAAGACCGCAAGATCAAACAAATACCAAGTGTGGAAATTCAATACGTAAATAGTATCATTTTGTGCCAAGTATACATTTCTGATTGGAATAATAACTATGAAATGAGGATGATAATGCTAGTTTAAATAGTATAGTTTAGATTACCCAGTTTGACCAAGCATTATTATCATTGACCGGTTTCTGATCGTTGCCGTAATGTCTGCATTGCAAGCCAAGCTTTGCTCTATTCAACTTGACTTGGCCGGGCAATATAATCATTGACCGGTTAATAATGTTATTGCCCGGTTGATCGACCTTGCCCGTAATGTATGCATTACTAGCCCAGCTTTTATCTATTTCTGCAAGCCATCATGATTGACGCCTGATACATTCAAAACTGAAAAGCCTGTAATCTATCATGTGCATGCCTATGTTTTTGAAGACCAGAAGATCAAACAAATACCAACTGTGGAAATTCAATACGTAAATAAAAGCATTCAGTGCCAAGTATACATTTCTGATTAGAATAAAAACGATGGAAAGGGGATGATAATCAAATGAATGAGCGCGAACAATCGGGTAACAACTGCCCTTGCGAAAGGGCATATTCGATGAGTACTTTAAAGCGTAGTTGAGAGCAAAGGGAGCATGACATTTCGGCTTGGGGGTGATGCGAGTAAATACAAGTAAATAAGGGCTGTGCGGTATGTAGTGCATTCGGTACGTGATTTAGGTCATTTCATAATGGTCACATTTATTTTGAGATTGATGACAGACCCACTACATTCATCCTAATAAATAAACTTGCTACATGTGAAAGTAACAGAAATGCTTCAATTGGTATTACGTTGATAGATGCTCAGAATCCGAATAAAACAGGTTATATTAGTAGCTTTCAAGAATTCTGAAAGGAAGTGTACGCTCTTCGACGTTCTAATGCCATTTTGTTCAGACCAAAACCTACGATTGGTTTGTTGCCAGACTTACGTAGTCAGTTCATACCACAAGTCGATCAGGTTTAAGCCGCCGGCTTGACAGTTGATGACATTTAAAATAAATTCGTACTTTTCCGCGAAAACATAAACATGCCTGGGTTTCAATCGCAGTGTTCAAGACAATCACAGAAGATGGTCAAGTTTTTGTTGTTGATTGCAAAAAACAGTTTAAGCTGACTATGAGCAAATCTTTATCGATAAGTATTACGAGTACATATTATAGTCATGCACCTCAACAGTGGGCTTGTTTGGTAACAGAATTATTGTATACATAACAGCAACATTAGAAGATGAAAAGTATTGGAGGAATATCAAAATGTTGTGTGGTTATTGAAAAGGGCCGACCTAAACTTTATTTAAACTAAACTAAAATTTAATTTTATCTACTTTAATTTTTTATATAAAAGTTCTTAGGAATGTTACTTTCACGTCATATGCAGTGATTTGCTTTCTCATTTTAGTGCTCCGATTTCTATGAAGAAATCTTAGTGCGCCTAAAAAAATTATGAATACCAATTCAATTAAAATACTTCCAAACCTTCTTATTGGATAACTATAGGCATAGTGATATAACAGCAGGAATTTTCATATCATGCTCAACTATGCATTTGCTTTTAAGCCAAGAATCTGCTCGGATCACAACAACTAATCAGAAAAACAGAGTAGAATCACGGGGGTCACTAACATAAAATTGACGCTTGCACCAGGTCCGTGAGAATATTGTTGAGCCGGGGTTCAAAATGATTGACCGGTACGCATCAATAATGGTTACGCTTTTCCCATTTCCCAAGACAATCACTCGATTATTTAATTTGATATCGGATGAATATCGTGATCACTAAATTTGACTTTTTCTGTCGGGTAAATCAAGATCAAAGCTTACTTTGATACTCCGAGGAACTTCGTTGACTTGATAGAAAATGCTATTGGAGGACATTTAGATGACCTAAAATAAAATTTGCACATCCGATGCTTTATTGTCAAATCGATAAACATATCCTTTCTAGCATGTGAAGTATCTTTTAATTCAATTTGGGAATCCTAAATTTGTAATGCGTTCCGTAATTATACAATTTCTTGACGTGTTAATGCTATTTGTTGAGATATGTCAAGACTTTTCATCCGGATAGCTAGAAAAACATAGAAATGGTCTTCCTTTTCAAAACGTTCAGTTTTGAATAGCTAGTTTCACTAGCTGTTGTATAATGAACTATTTAATATATACTTAAATTTTCGTGTTTGATATTAATGATTTTGAGATTCTCTTGTCTCCTCGTCATAAACTACATGAAAGCTGTGAAATTTTGAGTGCTGTCAATATTAGGCAAATTCAGTTCTTGAGCGAAAGTTTCCTTTCAAATCCAACTTTTCGCTGTTTATAAGCTTCTTTAGGAATGCTACGAATAATGATACTGTAAGTAGTAACTTAATAGTACGTAAGAATATAAAGTAGACTTACATAATGTCAGCTTTCTGCAATATATAATTATATTATAATTTTATAGGTAGTAGAGCGTTAAAATCGAGGCAACCTGTTTAACATACCAATTGTCTAAATAAGAATAGGAGATAAAACACATGCTTCAAATAAAAGTATATAGATACACTTCAAGAACTGAGTATTACTACAATTGGTATGTAACTATAGTACTTACTATCACTATTAATTGTATTATATTTGCTCATGTATTTTCATCAGCATTTTGGTAAGCATTATATTATTGATAGATATTGTTGTCATCGAAGAATTTTAGCCTCTTCCAATATATTAAAGAACTATTTCCTTGTTGATGTATTAAATTAGTATAAAATCACGTAACTGTTATTGGCTAACCAGCTATTGAATACATTGAAACTCACCTCAGGTTAAGCAGGATAATGACAAACACCAAGACCTGAGAAGGATAATCCACCATCCTTCTAGTGTAACCAAACAGCCTATGTCTATAGTCATCTCACAGATCTACATCAAATACCGCCAAAACAACTTTTAACTCAATATCGTCCCAAAGAACGTGTATCCTCTTATTGAGTTATCACAACGCGTCATCTAAAAAATAAAACACTAAATCGAAAGCTACTATCTCGAAAAACTTCTTTTAAGCACTGTCGAATCAAAACTCAGTCGTTTTATTTCGCGTCGTGAGGCACTAGCACGGATGCATACGTAATTGAAAAAATGAGAAACCGAAATCTGCGTACACCGGAAGATAATATCTCGCAGAGCCTCTTTCGAGTACTGTCAAATTGCAGCTAGCTCAATTGTTTTTTCTCGCGTACGTAATGGGTCGAGTGTCAACTGTCAGTTGGATGGTGGCGGACGCTGCATCTAGTGGGTCAGTCGCGGTGGCGATCGTCATTTTTTCTTTCCGGCCGGCGCGGTGCGTGAACACCCGGAAACGAAGAAACAAAACAGCGTCACGGCGGTGCGTCACAGTAGGCCGCGGAGGAGAATAAAGAGCGTCGTCGGCGAGATAAGCGCACGTGAGGGGCGATTCGGAGGGGAAGGGGAGGGTGGGGAGAGGGGCAGGCCAGGTAGGTGGAGTCAAGCTTAGGAGGCTGTGCTCGGACGATAGATGATGGATCATGATGATGCTCGTCTAGCGGGAATATTCGAAAATTGGATTAGCCTCAGAAATGATGTTTTATTGCTCGCAGTGGAGCGCACAAAGTCAACTTTTATCGATTGACCCTAGCAGCTTACCGGTCTAGAGCAAAAAAATAGCAAAATCTTTATGCTTTCTGCTAGCTTAGCATTAGTCTCGCACTCATTGACCTAGGGTTGCCATGGTACTATTAAAAAAAAATTGTCGTGATTAATTTCTTCTTTAACTGTTTAAACAGCATGAGTTCGTAGTGTGTAAACGGTCGATAGCTGCTGTAACAGTAAAGAAAGCAAATATATGCTCCTTACTTAAATCAGCCGCACTTCATAAGGTGATTGATAACTACGCGGAAACACAAACATCAAGATTTTTTATTGGAATGCACCGTATGTCTTAGTGTATTCTGAGAGATTCTTTCAAATGATGAAGCTTGATAGCATACTCCAGGGTTTGGATCGCTGTTTTTAAAGCTACATATACCTACTTTGTCCGAAAAGACACCCAACCTTGTCAGATTGACAGTCAGTCAATTTTGCAAATAGAGGAGCAAACTTCCGTCAAAATGAGTTCTATATCCCATATTTTCTCAACATTTTTCAAATTCTTGGTTCATTTATAAGCACAAAATATATTAAAAAAAATTAAATAGGTACACCTCATATATTTTTATGGATTTGTCTTGCCCTTTTATGTTTTTTGCGATTCCCAGACATTTTAGTTCAAAATAAATTAATACCACCTTGTTGGGTGGTAATTGAAGGCTGGTACTAATCCATTAAAAATACTCCTTTTCCACGAAAAATCTGGAAGTATTTACTTTAAATTCATTTTTGGAAAACTCGTTTAACCCCAACAAATTTTACATACTACCTCAATTTTTTCCATCAATAATCCAGCTAAATTTCTATTCTGTTTGATAAAACAAAAGTTATCTTGAAATAACCTCAAAGTTAAGGTGCAAGGTCAAGTTCAAGGTCACTGTTGACCTCCTTGTTTCAAACCAAACCATTTATAAAAATACTTTACCTGGAAGAATACAGAGCTATTCTGTTACTTTTGTTACACCCCGTATGCCGGTTTTGGATTTTCGAATATGTGAAGCCTCATCCTTTCGAGAACTTCAGGGTATTCTGGAGTTACATCGTGCTCTGTACAGTATGAATCTCATATTGATTAAGACACTGTTTTGATAGGAGCACCACCATAACTCTCATAACCCTTTTCTTAGATCTAAGAAGATCTTCATCCTTTCATGAACAGTTTTTTCCCTGTCTCTGCCCTGATCGATCGATACACCACCCTAGAACTATTTTTTTGACTGCTACATGCTAGGTATGAGTTCCGACTGCATCCATTTATGAACAACAACTTGTTATAAATAAAACCATTTCAGTGCTGACGTTATCTCTCCTTTCACACAGATAACATAATTACAGGAATCAATCCCCGGTCGAAACTTAATCGAAGCACATGCATTTACATCCTTTGAACGCGCTGTGTAACAAATAGTGGCACATTTCATCATTTTATTGGATCGTCCCAATTCATTAGCGTTTGATTGCCTCACAGCTAATTAGTCATCATCTGATGACGACCGGGTAGCTAATTATCAAAATGTTACTGACGCAATTAATCGAACGTCAATACAGAATACATGGGCGGCGCGACTTGCCTTAAATTACAAGGATCTGGTAGGAGAGTATTTCTCACGTATTAACATCTATCAAGGAAAATACTTCAGAAACGCAGATTGGTTTAACATTCAGTATGTTGTAGACCTCAACATGTAGAACCAAAGTGTCCATGGGCCCAACGTTCATTCACCAGCAGTTTCCGAAAATTCAGTGTCCGCAAAGTTGGGACTACATATAAATAATAAAAATTAAGCGATTATTCCCAATGGCATATACATCAAAGTTTTAAGAAAAGCGACATATTAGGCACGGTAGAATTAGTCAAACCTGAGCCAAACCTAACCCAGATGCCGGCAGCATAGATAAACAAAACATTTTTCTTCGAAAAACCCAAAATGGCACTCTCGTACAGCAGTATCGGTCTTATCGACATGGTATTTAGGGTGAGCATTTTTTCAAAACGCTACCGAGGCTTCGCGAGTGTTTGCAGATCACTTTCCCAAATGTTGTCATTCAGGACCGTATAGATTTGTGCAAAGGTCCAAGTCGTTTTGCAGGAACGTCAAGGTGGGCACAGTGGGGACCTAGACAACCCAGGATGGTGCAAACTGAGGAAGGAGTATTGAATCTTGAAGAAGAAAATCCTTCTGCCAGAACTAGAGAAGTGGATAGACAAGTGCAAGTCTCCAAGGCTGAAGTGCGGTAAGCGCTGCGTGTTGATAGATTGTACTCTTTTGTACACGCACTCCAAGGTGGGGATTTTACTGCAGGAGTCTGCTTTTGTGAGCAGCTGTTGCAGTCTATATTAGTCATGTTCTCATAATCATCCCTATTACGAGTAGCCGGTTCACGAACATTGCAATGCGTTCACATGTACAGGGTGGGCATCGTGTCAAAACGTTCTCAATGAAGGCTCAGGATTATCATACACCAGTCATATATAGTAGTACATATGGTATATACTACTTTAATGCAACCACAAGTAGCATGTTTAAATGTACCTCCGTAATTTCGTCATACAAACTCACTTAACTAGGTATTTAAGAAAGAACTTACAAATATTGCGATCTGGAAATGTTAAAATATACAGGGTGTTATACTTCAATGTTTATAGGAGCAATGAATTATGTACTTTTCAAAACCCTGTACAAATAATTGACTCGAATAAACAAGATTATGTAAAAAAGAACTAAAGGTTAATACATGATCTCACAGAAAAATTCGGTACTCTGTCGAGAGGCCGAAGTACTAGTTGCCATACTCTCATGTTCTTTATACAAAATGCATAACTATGTAGGTTCGTCCGAATATCCCTTCAAATATTCACCAGGAGTAAAGTGCATGATGGGGAAAATAGAAATAATCGCTGCCTACGTAGTGGACAAGAAGGGAAGCATCGTTGATTCGTCGAATTTTATCAAGGCGTAAATAGTCTATATTCATTTGTAAGTTTGTCAGTCTGTCGGTCTGATCACCCAGAAATTAGTCCATAGACATTCTTTCACTGCCCTATCTAGCTCAGCAGTCGTGGTACCACGGCAGCGCGGTGACTCTATACCAGAACACTCATTACGGTCGGCGCACGACGCTAGCAGCATTCGTGGGTGATAGGTACGCGATTCGTCTAATAAGTGCGTAGAATTATCAATGTTGGGAACGTATAAATGTACTAACATCAAACAATTGAGATAAACCTTCCCCACCCCCTTTCAACCCCCATGTATTTTTTTACTTCTGAATTTTTTTCAAGAATGATCAGAATCCTCTGTAACATCCAAAAAACATGTAATTGTGATAGCCTAAAGTGTGCATAAGTACATGTTGATCACATTACGAGCCGCTGCCTGGAATGCTTGTGAACTTGTTCCACTGAGTAGTGCACTAAGTCATGGAACAAAGGATTGCAATGCGATTCTGCTTGCTCATAGCGTCATCGGTCTGTTCTTTAATGTAATCCCCCAAGTAAGAAATCCGGAATGTCAATGTTTCTGTGTAGTGTCTCATTCGAGACCCATCATGGGACATTATATTATTATTGTTCTTAAGGACCTGTATTGCAATACTTCCAAAGCTCGCATGGCTTAACAAACACCAAGCTGCACATGAGAAGGTAAGAGTAGGTCTAATGATTATTGTGTAAAACCGAATTTTATTGACAAAACTTAATTATGACGTTCTACACAATAAATGATAGAGTTGTCGAAGCGTAAGCCTAAGCTGCTTTCAATGCTTTAGTATGTTTTTGAGAGGTGGGAAACATCTTCCCGATAGATATTGGAGTACAGGCGTGAACTGTATGGCCAAGGTGCAATTGTTTCTCTACCATAATTTCTCAAATCAATTGGAGACACAAGTAGATAAAGGTATGTAACATTTTTTTAAAATTGTTTTTTGTATTAAACTAACCTTAAGGAGTGATTCTTTCATTCTGTGATTACTTTGTTGCAAAACAAGATAATAATAAACTAATTAAACCAATTATTTAAAATTTCAAGGTCCCAATAAAAAATGTTTAAAGTCAATTTTCTCCATATAATGATTTTGTTACATGACACCTTTATCCCTTGTATTTCAATTCATTAATATCCATTTATCCGCTGTCACGACGCACACAGCGAATAAGTTTCTATAGAAAAGCAACACTGTTACCCACATAATACGCTGTAATGTGGACAACCTAACTTAGAGGTCCTGCAAACCATTCGTGGAGAAACTTTACACTCATAAACACCATTGTTCTTCTACGTGTTGAGCTCTTCAGCATAATACATTTTTGAAAAAAATATACATTTCCCTTAAGGTTTCTGCAGGATTACTCATCAAGAAACAATATTCAATCTTCACTTCCGCTTTTTAGAAAATTATTTTAATTTAATCAGAGGACTTCTCTGGCATACTCTCTAGTATGAACATTCTTGGTCTGATCACCAGTGAGATGGAAACGACGTCAGTTTTATTTTTTCCAAAGCATATCTCCTGGAATATGTGTCAACAGCTACTTAGTTCAGATCAGTAACATTTGCACAAACTATAACGATCGATACCAAGATAGGCGTGGTATACATTATCTCTGGTCGCGATAAGGTCAAAGAGATCGTGACTCGTGTATAACCTCAGCCAATAGCAGAGCATCTAACGGCGTCATTTATTTCCAGCGGACCGTGAACCGTTTTGATTTACAAACAGAATCTCATTTTTCAC